GCCAGCCCACCCTCTCACCTCGTTCCCCAAATCCCCGCGAGCCCCCACGGAGGGCAGGGACTGTCTTCTGACCTTCTGGGTCTCCTCGGCGCTTTGCCTGGCACTGGCGTGCAGTAGGCGCTTCATCCATGCTTGTGGGCCTCCCTCCTCCACAAAGTTGCCATGGTACCACCAATGGAGCCGGCGTTAATTAATGTCTGTCCCACTCTAGCTGTGTTCTCTCCGGAGGCAGGTGCTGTGCTCATCCACCGCCCCTGCTCACACCTGCAGAACCTCTGGGACACGCTTGTCTGTGTCCTCCAGGGCTCTCTCTGCTGCGCCCCCACCTCCCTGGCCAGAGCCCGGCCAGTCTTCCCTGATCCTCTCCCTGAAGCACCCCTCCCCCTCCGTCCTTATGTCTGATCTCCTCTGTCTTTGGCCTGAGCCTTTCTGGGGGCTGGCTTCATCCTTTCCCCATTTAGACTGTAAGCCCCTTGAGGGAAAGGACTCTCTTTGTCGGTATGCCCAGCAGTTAGTAAGGTGCCTGGCATGTCGTAGGCACTTAATAAATGTTTGTTGGCTATTTGTAGATCTGTTGGGTGGGCAGCGAGGGCATCTGAAGGAGAGGCAAGACAGCACATTCCCAGCACTTGCAGTCCTCGCCACCATGGCCACTGTTGGAGATGTGGTCCCGGGACCCTGAGCCCCTGTGGCCCCCGGCCACGAGGCCTGACCCTACTTCTAGCTGGGCTGCCCTGTGGGGGAGGGGCCAGCCTGCCCTCCCCGGCCATACCTTGATGGAGACCGCGTTGGGAGTGGAGGGGTGCTGCTCCCAGCCCGCTGTCCACCTGCTCCTGCAGGTGCATGAGCCCCTGCCATCTGCTCCGCCCCCGCCCCCAGGGACCCTGGCACCTTTCCCTCTGGTTGGAGGCTGAAACCTTCCCTGGGCACAGTCTCCCCCATTAGAGCAGGGCCTGTCTCACTTTCTGTTTGTGTCTCCAAGGCCTTGTACACCTTAGGTGCTCAGTACGGGCTGTGTTCTCTAGAGTGTAAAGTCGCCCAGGAGCATTCTGTGAATGAGTGTGTCCTCTGGCATCTCTGCCACTGTGCTGTTCTCCCAGACCCCTGCTCCTGTCTCCTGCAGGTTTGCTCACTACCTCCCAGTCCCTGCTTCTCTCCTTGAACAGCACCCCCATTTGTCCAGCTCAGAACTCAGTCTGTTCAGAGAGCCTGCCTTCCGGCTCTGATGGCTCTTCCATTGCAATGTTGCTGTGCTCTGAGGAGGACTTTACAGGAAGCTGGGGGCACTCATTTGAAGCACACCACGCGCTGGGTCACGGAAGAGGAGACAGGGCTGCCAGGTTCTCCTTGGCACCAGCAGAGGGCCTGTCTTGGTTCCGGGGGAGTGGTCCCCAAATAGCAGGTGGGGACGGGGTGGGTGTCTGCCCCTTCAGTGGAGGAGGGGTCTGGGACTGGGCAGGCAGGAGGGAAGCGTCCAATGAAGGGCTTTCATTTATTAAGCCGTTTCAAGATCCCCCAGTCCCACAGCAGTGATCATTTACAGAGGCTTTGAGGCTTGCCAGGGACTCTCCTGCTCTCCTTTTATTTAACAAGAACACATCCGTACCCTCCCTCACCTGGTTCCCTGCCCTGACTCCCTATAGAAATGAGCTGGAGGCCAGTCAGACTTACAGGCCTCTCTGTGGAAAGCTCAGCCCACAGTTGTGTGTGCTGGTTCCTACCGCACCCTGGGTTCGGGCCTCCTGTCCTGCTCGGGCTCTTTGCTTCTCTGCCTTCAGGATCAGGAGGCAGTGGATTGGGAGGGATGGACCCCAGTGGAGGCCAGAGGTGCCTAAGTTCTAGTGCTGAATTGGATAGTCAGCCTCAGTTTCTTCATCTGTAAAATGGGAATGAGCATTTAGACATTGTGAGGATCAGAGATCAACCTATAAAGTCCTTTGTGAACATTAAAGCTGGCTAGCTCTGGGATTCTCTCCTCTGTGCCTGAAGGGATGAAGACAAGAGTGAGGGAGTGACAATGGGGGCTGCCTGCCTGGATATGGGATTGTCCTCTGCGGCAGGTGTTGGAGGGCAGAGAGCATTTCACCTCTGCATCCTTAGTGTTTCTTACGGTGCTGTGCATATAGTAGGGCATTAGCAGATACTTGCTGACTGCTCTGTGAAGAAAGGGTTCCCAGGGCCTCCTCCAGAGTGATCCAGTCTAGGGGCAGCTAGGTGGAGCAGTGGATAGAGCACTAGCCTTGGAGTCAGGAGGACCTGAGTTCAAATCCAGCCTTAGGCACATGACATTTACTAGCTGTGTGACCCTGGGCAAGTCACTTAACCCCATTGCCTAGCCAAAAAAAAAAAACCCAAAAAGCAAATCAAAACAAAAAACAAAAGCAGAGTGATCCAGTCCATCGACTGCAGGAGAGGTGGGTGTGAGAAGCAGCGGTGTCGGCTCTGATTCCTTCCCAGAGTCGTGAATCTCTCTATCCTGCTGACCCCTTGAACTTGGCCCCCTGTCCATCCAGGAAGCTGACCACATTGTGTTCTCTGCCTTCAGGAGCCAAGGTGTTTTTTGTTCCCCAGTAGCTGTCAGATGAGATCTTGACAGGGCCGGACTGTGATTGCCGGCCAGGGAGTTTATTTAAATGACTGAATTTAGGAAAAGAAACTTTGCCCCCTGGTTTGTAATAGGGTTCCCCCTGTCCTTCTTGGAGAGGATCTGCACAAGATGGAATCCTGCCTTCCGGGCCATGTCTTCATTGGCTGTGAACTGGTGGCTGGTACTCCAGGAAGGCTGGACAAGGGAAGAAGGATCTGCCATTGGGGAAGGGTTAGAAAGCAGTGACCACCCCCCGCAGTAGCAGGTGTGGGTTATGCCTCCACCACATACATGCCTCAGTCCGAGGGGTGGAAGGGCCAGAGTCAGAGAGCCTGCCCTCCCCCTTGAGTCCCCTGGTCCACCAGGGTTTACCACATGCTCACCCAGCCAGGCAAACCGAAGGTCGTTAGCGGCGAGGGTGAGCTCACTCAAGCCTGGCATCACCTGGTAGATGGAGGAAAGCCTTGTATCCAAGAAAAGGGAAAGGAGGATAGGCAACCGAGAGGAGCCGATTTGTGAATGGGGGAGGAATGGGGTCAAGTCCTTCCATGTCACTTGGCAGCTGTTGGAGGGTCAGGACCAGGTGGGAGGGAGAGTGAAGGGTTCCGGGATGACCATGACCGGGCCCTTCCCTAGCAGCAGAGTGGGATCCCAGAAAGAGCTTATCAGAATAGAAATGGGCCATGTCTTTCATCAGCAGGAGGGATGGAATTAAACCCTTGAATCACAATGGAAATTATTTTCATTTTCAGTGAATGTCAAAGCCCAGACCTGGGTCTGACCCAGTGACTTCTCATTCTGATGCTTTCTGGACTTTACAAGGAAGCAAAAGAAATGTGTAAAACATAGAGTTTGGGCGGAGTGGGGGGGGGTTCCAAATTTTATCTGAGGTCAGAGAGTTGCATTTGATGTAGGTGAATCTACGCCTCTAAATTTGGAGTATCTGAAGAGTTAATTATTTTTAAAACTTGGAATCAGCCTTCCATCTTCGCTTCATGCCTGTTTCCTTGGGAACTCTGGATGCAGAATGTGTCATGGCCTCAGGGAGCTCGTCTCCTCCCTTCACAGTGCTCTTGGCATGGCGGTGAGCACCAGTGGAAGACCTTTGGCTATTGCCCCGAGCTGTGCCTTTGAGAAGCTCACAAGGACAGATTGGGCCAGGCCGCAACATACCGTGCCGCTCTGCCTGGTCTGGAGTTTAACATTGCTTTGAACAGGGCTCCCATCCTCCTAGTCAGCTGCATTGTCTGAAAACTGTCCCTGGAAGGGGAAATGTTTTAAAAAGAGAGAATGGGAGAATTTGCATTCCCCATCACCTCCCTTGTTTGTGATGCCAAAGCCAGGGTGGCTTCTGCAGGGTCCTAGAGGCCCCCTCCCACAGGGGAGCAATGGGGAGGGAGACCATTTCTTGGGGGGAGGACCTTCTAGCAGCCATCACGGTGGGGTGTCAGGAGAGCAGAGCGTTTAAAGTGGATGTTAAAAAATGAGAGCCACGTGTTCCTGTGAGAAGCCAGAAGTGCATTTTGTTTCTGCCCAAATGGAAGCAAGTGATGGTGCATTTTTCGCATTGCTGGGTCCGGGGCACTCCCTGGAGACCCCAAGACAAGAGAGGTTTCCTCAGGTTTCCCCAGGGGTGTGAGAAGGCCCATCTTTTGTCTTGGTTGGGTGTCTGCCCTTGGGGCCCCTCTGGTGAGCCTGGCTGTGTGTGTGTGTGTGTGTGTGTGTGTGTGTGTGTGTGTGTGTGTGTGTGTCGGTGTCGCACAAGCAGGAGCCTGGCTTTCCGGGAGTCCCCCACTGCAATCCTGGGGAAGGGCAGCCACTGGGGCTGCTTTTTACATGCAGGGAGAATTTTCACCTTTCATCAGGCTGGGCTACCAGAAGATGATGTCACCTCGCAGCTGATTGGCTGTTGCAGTACCTAGTGCAGGCAGCGAAGAGAAAGAAAGATGCCGGCACCAGGCTGCCTCCATGGTGCTGGCTCCCAGCTGGCTCCCGTTGGCTCTGGGCAGAGCCCGTGATTCCGCCTGAGCGGCCAGGGTGGGGCCATGGCAACTCCTGGGAGCAGCCTCCAGTGAGGGCCAGGCCAGCGGGCTGCTGGAGGCATGAGGCGTCTGATTTGCAAGCGGATCTGTGATTGTAAGTGGAAGCAGGGAGGGATGCCGGCGAGGAGGCCCTGCCCAGCCCAGCCGTGCAGGGAAGGCCGGGGGTGCTGGCTTGCACTGCTGGATTTTAGAGCGATGCTTCTCCAGCTTGGCAGCCGAAATTCGAGTGAGAAAGGCCTGACATTGTCCGTGCTGTCCATCTCTCACTTAGACCCACAGGAGAGCATAATTTGTGTTTGATTTCTCTCCGTGAATTTTGAGAAAACTGCAGAAAGCTCAGTCCTCATCCATCTTTCTCATGTCCTTTCTAGATAAAAGCTTTGATGATGAGGAATCAGTGGATGGAAACAGGCCGTCAACAGCAGCCTCAGCCTTCAAGGTTCCTGCCCCAAAGACTTCTGGAAACCCTGTCAACAGTGGCCGGAAGCCTGGTTCCTCTGGGGGACCAAAGGCTGGAGGTAATGGGCACCCAGCCCCACTCTTGTTCCTGACTCTGCCTGCCAGACTTAGAGATGGGGAGGAAGATGTGGAATTCCTGGCCGCAGCAGGGCTCAGAGGACCCATGTGCTGGGAAGGGCCAGCAGGGTGTCAGGGCCTCAGGGTGGGGGGCCTGAGCAGCCACTTACCAGCAGCTTCGGGGATTTACTGTTAGGTGCCTTATTGGACATGATATATATAATATAATATATATATATAATATAAAACAGGACATCATTTCAGATGGACCCACCTTCTCAGAATGGTTGAGCCCCCTGGGCACTAGAGACAGGTTGGGCAGGGGGCCATGTGCTTGATACAAATCTCAGTGAGAGGACACAGGAGGGGCCCCCACCCGGGGCATTTGAGGGGCTGGGACAGAATCAGTCTGTCCTGCACCAGCAGTGACACAGATTTAGGGGTCTTGTGTGGAGAGAGAGATTGGGCTGTGACCAGGAATCCACTTGGGTGTGATTTTTTCAGTGTGAGCGTCTGTAGACCTTTTGGGTTTCATTTTTAAGTCAAAGAGAGCTCGCTGGCCTTGCCTCTAGGACTCTCCTCATTCATTTTTGAGGATCTGCTTTCTGTCTTCACCTCCAGGGCCACGGGTGGGCCAGGCTGGGAGAGGCCCAGCCACAGAGTCAACTCTCTGTCAGGAACGGGCTAGGCCTTTGTCAGTTCTGCCTCCTTCCTCGTCCTGCCCACTAAATGTTAGTGAGGCTGGAGGAGGCTGGCCCGGGGCCACTGGTGGGAAGTGAGCTGGGTGTCTTAGTACCACTTCTGTCTTCCCCTCCCCCTTCTCCTTTGGTAGGGACATCCCAGGGCATCTGGCTCTGCCCTGGTCTTTATGCTCATGGTGGATGAGGTGTGGACTCACAGAGGGGGATTTGCATCCACCCCAGGGCATGACAGCTGGGGCCATTGCCAGCTCACCTCATCCTAGGAGATACAGGCCATTCTGTGTGGGGAGAGGAGAAGGGGGTGGCAGAGGGTAGAGAGCAAGTCCTCTGGTCACCTGGAGGGAGGAGATGGAAGTGATGGCAATGTTGGGCACTGCCCTGTGGCATTGAGATGCCAGAATGCAGCTGGCATCAGGGCCTTGGGACTGCCTCCCTAGGCTTGGGGCCTGGAAGAGCAAGGGGATGGACAGTTGAGGCCCTGCCTCCTCTCCATCCCATGCTAGTTGTGCAGCAGAGGGTTATTTTTCGGGGGCAGCCATCCTCCTACCTCCACTTAGGTAGAAGATCTCATAGTATGAAGCCACTTACAGGAAGAAGATTGATCTGGTTCCTGCTTTTCTTGCCCCTGTGTGGTGGGGTCCCCAAGGCAGCTGGCTCTGTGTTTGTCAGACTAGATCCCCTTAACCCTAAATGCATGCTCAGAGCATTGCGGGGCAGGGGGTGGTGGCAGGCAGATGCCCTTTCCCAGTCACCCTCATGAATTCCTCCCCCTCAGGCAAGGCGGGGGGGTGGGTAAGGGATGCTTTGGTCCGGCCCATCTCGGTTCAGCAGGGCTTGGGGCAAAGGCCTTGGGACCCCCTGCCATTTGGGCTCTCTGAATCTACTTGTTTTCAGGGACCCCTTTTGATTTGAACAAGTTTTATTCTTCTGAGCTGCTGGCATTCAGGCAGATGCCATGAAGACTTTTCAGTATTAACAATTCACTTTTAAAATATCCTCACTCACGTGGCAATTTTTAGTGGTAGTAATGAAATTTCTGAATTGCCTTGTGCCATTTACATAAATAGCTGTTTATAAAAAACCTCTCTGATTTTGTCTTCTGATGAAAGGTGATGTATACCAGGACCCATCTGACTCTGACCTAGTCATCCTAGTGAATTCCAAGATTTGCTTATTTTTATATCCAGTAGCTGGCTTTAGTCTTGGCAGTGACTAGACCAGTCTTCTTTATTAAAATGTCAGGATCAAGAAAAATTATTAAAACAATTTGTGACATATGGGATGTCCTAATTTGTTGAGATTTTTATTTCATTAAGGGCTTTTTTGAGTGGAGAAAAATAATCTGGTTTTAAGTAGGAATAATTACAGTAAATTTCTGATGGGTCCTGGCCTGGCAAAGACCACGTGATCCTGGGGTCAGGCAGCCCCTAGATTCAGAGAGAGGTGCCAGAAAATCTCTTGTACTTGGGAGTGTGTCCCACCCACCCCGGGGTCATTCAGGAGTGCTAACCAGGGCTGCCAGGGTCAGGGTCAGGGTCAGGGTTAGGGGCATTTTTCTCCTCTTAAAGCTTGTGAAGCTCTGACTGACCTGTCTCCCCTGCTCTTTTCTGTTCCTCTTCATTGCTCTCATTAATTTCATGGCCTTTTCTTCTCTGCCTTGGCATTTCAGGCTGCCCTCAGTGCCCCCATGAAGATGGGCATTGTGCTGGGTGGGCAGAGGAGGACAACCATGGGCTGTCCCCTTTCCTCCAGCAGAGGAAGTTTTCTGTAAACCTCAAAGCCCTGCACAAATGCCGGCTACTATTGACTCGAAGCTCCTGACCCTGGGGCTTGGGAGGTGGGGGAAGAGGACACATAATGACTTAGTTATGTGTATGGTACCTGTGGGCCCTACTGGGGAAACATCCAGTGGCCATCACTGATGTGAGTTTGATCCTGAGAGAGATGCCAGCTGCACAGGTCAGTCTTTGAGCCCTCTGTGTGGAGGTGACAAGTGATACAGTCCCTGAGAGTGTACAGGGCAGGAGGAGCAGAGAGCCGAGCACAGACCGCTGGGGGTGGCCTTAATGCTTGTGGCTGGGAGGACACCAGCACTGGAGGCTCGGGCGGGGAGAAGTTGAGACCGCGAAAGACTCGGCCAGGAGTCCAAGGGTCTGTTCCCCTTGTCTGTCTGCTCAGAGTTGCTAAGGGGACTCCTGTTGTGCCCAGACTCGGATTTGTGGCCAACGCGTTCCCCTGGCCGCCCTCTTTCAGCTGCCACAGAGGGACCTTAGCACCACAGAGTGCATGCAGCCCACCTGCTCCTCTCCCGTCTCTCCAGGGAAAAGCTCTTTGTAGGAGGTTTGCCCTCTCCTTCCTTCTTGCTGCCTTCCTGGTGGCTGTCCAGCTTCCCTTCTCCCCCAGCCTCAGCCCCGCTGGTCACTCACAGATTTCCCTTCCTCCTCTGAGGCTTACTTGTGTCTCAGATTCTGGCGGGCTGTGGGGGTCTCTTAGCCTCCCAGCCTTTTTCTGTCTTACCTCAAGGAATCTCTGGCTCACCCTTAGGATTAAGAAGTCCCCTCCTCCATCTTCATGCCCTTTCAGCACACAAAAATGGCCATCCATGTCCTGGATCTAGTTCTCACCCATCCATCCGCCGGGTTCCATTTTCATGACCTGAATATTGACTCTAACTTCTTCCCACCTATCACTCCTTTGGAACCTGTTCTTTGCCTTCACCTTGACCTCCTGTCTAGCCTCCCCCCCCCTTACCCCCCCCCCCCCCCCCCCCCCCCCCCCGCCAGGACTCTAGTTTCTCATGTCCCTCCCCTGCCCCAGGGACTCTTCCTCTGAACCTCTTCTGTACCTTCTGGCAGTCTCTGAAGTGGTTCAGAACCAATACAGTTGCAACACGTACTTTGGTGTGCCTGAGGTGGGCTGGAGGTAAATGAGTGATAAGCCAAGGAGCTGGAATGAAGCTGAGAACCAGACGGATTTCTTTGAGTGGTGTTCAAGGGAAGGAATAGATGCAGACCCAGACCATGTGAGCCTCTAAGGAGCAGAGCCTGACAGTGGCCAGGGGGTGAGAAAGGAAAAGACTTCAGGACAGAGCCACTCTGTCACCTGTGAATGGAGGGAGGAAGGACCCAGGGAGGGGCCTTCAGAGTCACTGGGATGAGCAGGAAGGGGCGACCATATGGGAATGGCTTTTATCATTGAAGGATTGTGGCCCATTGACTCCTCAGGTCTTGGGTCAGATATGTAGTCCTTTGTTTGGCATTCATAGTCCTGGACAATCTAGCTCCAAGTGCTATCTTTCTAGTATGACTATTCTAAAAAGTCACTTGTTACCAATAACTTTTGTATCTTACACTAGCAGAATTTCTCCTAGAGTGCCATGCCAGATAAGGGACTATTTGTCTGAGGGGAAAAAGAAACCCAAGAAGAGAGAAGCCAGCCAGCAAAAAAACTAAACAACCTATGGGAAAGGGTTGGGCCTCCCTACTCTACTGCGCCACCCCCACCCCCCAAGGCAGGTGGGCCTTTTCTTCTCCCTGTTTTGGCCCATCTTGGGGCCCTGTGATTTCTTTTTGCGGTTGTTGGCCCACTCTTCTTCAGGACCTTCTTTGGGAGTTTCTTGGCCAACATGTTGCAGTGGTGTGCCATTCCCTTCTCCAGCTCATTTGACAAATGAAGAAACTGTAAGTTCTTGGCATCTCCATAGTTGTTGTTTGCTTTCTTTTGCTGAGTCATCGTGTGTGTGTGTGTGTGTGTGTGTTGTGTGTGTGTGTGTGTGTGGTTTTGGCCAAGCTGTGTTGGAGCCTTTCCAGCCTCTCTGTATTTGTCATATTTGTCTCTTCCAGCATCATGATATTCCATTGTATTCACGTACCAAAGTTTGTGTAGCCATTGCCCAGCCGATGGGCATCTACTTTCTTTCTAATTCTTTGCCACCACCCAAAATGCTTCTGTGAATATTTTGGTGTACATGGAAATTTTATTCTTAGCAGTAATTTCGTTGGGGTGATGCAGTCGTCACTGTATTTGCCTAATTCCAGTTTGCTTCCCACAGTGGTAGTACTGATTGACAGCTCCACTAACGATGCACCAGCATGCCTTCCACATCGACTGTTCCAGCTTTTGTCACATTTGCAGGAAATGACCTGACTCCTCAGGGTTGTTTTGTTTTATGTTTCTTTTAGTAGGAATTTGAGAGATTTTTTCATATGGTTGCAAATAGTTTGTAATTCTTTTGAGAACTGTTCGCATCTTGTAGCCATTTATTTATTGGGAAACTGCTTTTGGTTTTTCATGCAGGCTGT